GCTCGTGTACGGAAATCTTTGGCTAGATTTGCAACAGACTATTGGCTCTAAGGTGAATGAGGCCCTGGCCTCCAAATTTGGAGGACGTTACAGTGCAGGGACATCTTAGATCATCCAGTGTGTTGAAGCTGGGGATGACTTTAAGTTGCAGGTTTCCAGCAAATAATTGTATTTACATGTGTGAGGTCTATGTATACCCATCCTGTGCCTAGCAGTGTGCAGTCACCAGCTGCTAGTGAAGATTAAATGTGCTTAATGTCTGTGTTCCACCATTTCCGAGGGGAAATACCTGTGAGAGGGGAATGCCACAGCTGGTATGTGTGTAAATAACTGAGGACTTCCTTGGTGTTCGTGTGCCCTCGATTTCTGGCAAGTGATTCACAAGGCTCGGCAGAGCCTGCTGTGGCAAGAGGGCTGCTCTTAAAGTACAGTTGGTTCTTATAGCTGTACGAAAAAGTACTTATAAAATCCTCTTGGTTTGTTTTTTTTTTTTTCTTTTGTTTTGTTTTTTTTGTAGGAAGTATTGTGAGTGTGGGCGATCCAAAAAAGAAGTACACGTGTTTTGAGAAGATTGGACAAGGGTTAGTATACGCTCCTTCTTTGTCCTACACCTTTCCTTATGCTAAGAAGGAAGCACTGAAACCAAGCTAAGTTAGTTTGCTGGAAAAGCTGTTGGTAATACTTTGGAGAGTTTATTTTGTTTGGTTGTTTTTTCGTTTTCTTTTTCTTTTGTTTTTGGTTTGGTTTGGTTTTGGTTGTTTTGGTGGGTTCCACACCGCTCCAGCTCTTCTCCCTCTCCTGGCAAAGTCTTGAGTCATAGGGACTGGGATTTTTGTGCGATTGTGTTTTAATGTAAGAAAGTATGTCATTAGATGATCAGGTTGCTAAATATAGCTGCAAGCAGGGAAGGAACTGCTTATTTTCAGCGTGCAAGACAGTCTTAAAATTACAGATTTGCTTTCTGAATTAACTCTCCTCGATGCGGGTGTTGTGCCCATCTTAGCAAGGTAGTGGAAAATAGAGGTTGGGGGAGAGGCTATAGTGAGGCAAGTCAGTGCAAATCACTGAGAGATCTGCTGTCAGCTCCATGTGCTGAGGCTCAGACTGCCGTTTCCCTCACTACGAATGCCACATTTGTTTACTTTAGCTGATCCTGCCTGCTTTGTAATCATGTTGGGCAGTCTGCAAGCCAGGGCACTGCAGTCATGCCAGTTTAGATGGGATCAGCTCATGGTCCTACAAGCTGTGCTGCGTTGCTGGTTTAGCAGCAAGGGTTTGGATGACCGTAGTGTCCCGTTTTAGGAGCTTTGTTCCCGTAAATTCTCTGGCTTCTGCTCTAACAGCAGTCTCTGCTCAGAAATATTTCAGATGTTATTTACCACTGGAATTATTGCATGAAAAGGAATGGGACTTGAGAGCACTTCAAAGAGACGAGTGGGAAGGGGCATGTGTTAAGTTCTCAGTCTTGCCAGGAGGCACTAATAAGTGGTTTTTTTCTTTTCTCTCTTTTGTTTAGAGCCTCAGGTACAGTTTACACAGCAATGGATGTAGCTACAGGCCAGGAGGTAAGTGCTGCCAGAATACCACAGCAGTGGATTTTGGATTGTGTCCTACAGGTTCAAATTGATGCTACAAAATAAAGACTGTCTTTCAGGGGTTCGTGACATCTTATTTTTAATGAGGTATTTATTTCCTTACTAATGAGGCATGGTCGAGTGGTCTGAGCAGAGAACTGGAAAAAATGATTTCCCAAGTTTTGATTCCTGAATCATTTCATATTTGTAAAGAATCTTTCTATGACCACAAGGGCTGGAAGCAAATGATCAGACTGGATAGTTCCTCAGTAGAAGTTTCTCTCTTCATCCCCAAGTTTCCTGCCTGTCCCCATTTAAACTCTTTTATATGCCCTCTGCTCCTTTGCTTCCTACGCTTACACTAGTTGACTTGCATAGAAATAGTTCCTCTCCCACCCTTTGCCCACTTGCTTTCTGCCCTTGAATTGAGAGACAAGGAATGTCTGTCTGTCTTTTTCTTTTTTTTCCCCTCCCGAATATTGAAAAGTGCCCTGCATGTTGCATGCATAATAAAATAGTAGTGACGGATATGCAGCATCTGTGGAAACCATTATTGCTAGATGGAGGATTTTTAAAGAGGAAAGCGTATGCATTATTCCAGATATATTTTTGGAAGTCTGCAGCAGTGCGTGTCTACTTTGCATTTGTACAATGTCAGGGTTGTCCACCAGTAAATTTCATAACTCTGCTTTTTGCTGAAACTCCTTCACCCCTTTTTCCAATTCCTGAAGAGTTAATACAGTTTAATTGCAGCCTCTGAGGAAGGGGCGTTGCATTTATTTTGAAGCAGTGAGAAATTTTATAGGAGGAGGAAATCCCTTGATGGTTTTCTGCTTTCTTTCTGGACCCCTTCGGTGACTCCCATGTGAATATTTGAACCCTTATATTACAACAGACTTTTAAATCGTTCCTATTACGCTAGCGTGATCAGGCCCTGGATTTTTAAATTTGCATTTGGGATTGCTGTAACCTTGGCATGCTGTTGACCTGTTCCTTTCTGTGAAGCGCGCTGCTACCAATCCTTCAAGCTCAGGAGCTAAGTGAACGGTAACACATTTTGGAAGTGCTGGAAGGAAACTCCTTTATTTTGCACTATACAGGAGCCTCGGGCAGCTCCCAGGGTTAAGAATACTGAAGATTTTCACTAATGATGGCTATCTAGTATAACTACAGCTGTTTATTTTGTATCCTAATGCACGGGACAGTCTTAGATAAGGAAAATGCCCCCGTATGCACTTGGACCCATGGGTCTACCTCTGAACAGGAGTGAGGAAGTACTGGAGCCTCTCTGAAGCTTCCTCAGTATTGGTCTGGGATTTCTTTATCTGCATCAAATACCTTCCCTCTGTTCTTCATCTTTCATTCTCCTCTCTGGTCTTGCGCAAAGAGCAGCATGGGGGTTTTGTTTTTATCTTCTTTGAGTACTGTTTGGCAGCCCTTGTAAATACTGCGAAAAACCAGCATGGTGTCTGTCTGTTCTTGCCTTCTCGTGTGTTGGGATTTTTCTATAGTCTCCCCTGCCATACTATCAAAATGCTAATTGTATCCGTCTATGTTGGCACTCTGTGTCTTGTTGTTTTTTAATCCTTGCTTTTGTGAGCTGGAATTACTGGCTCCCCTCCATTCGCCTAGGCCTCTTTCTCTGCAAGTAGCGGTTTTGTAAAGGCGTAATTACACTTCATTCCCTTTGCCTAAATATTGTACCAAATACAACACCAATAGTTGGGTTGTAACATCTATGGAAGTGTTTCTGCTTCCTGCTCTGCTGAGTAGTCGTACTGATTTGAAGGCTTGTCTGAGGGCCAGGTGCTCTCACGAAGTACTGGTAGTGTGGAGAGTTGAACATAAGAGTTAAAAACATGTTGTACCTCCTGCTTTCTGCATGTATACATGCAGAATAGTTATCCTGAAGCAGGCAGAAAGCTACTAAGCCAAAGGGCTACAACTGACAAATCCATCCCTGTCGCCCTTCAGTTATGACTGTGGATAAAGCTGAATCCAATTCACTTATTTTCAGCCTATTATCTAAACACTGGTGCTTCTTTCCCCCAGGTCTTGCTGTGACAGAAAGAAATAGAATTGCCACTTCGAAGTACTAAGCTTAGACTACGTTATTTACCCCCTCCATGCATGTCCGCCCTGCTGTAGATTTCTAGAATCAGAAATTTGCACGGGAGCCAAAAAAAACCACCAAAAAACTTCCAGAAACATCCAATCCAAAATAAAATTAATAAGAATCCTTTAAGAAATAAAAAGTTTTTGACATATCAGTCCATCTCCCATATGTAAGGGGATCTCTTCCTTGTTACCAAGAAGCTGTAGATGGAGATGGCTATCCAGCTGTGACATAAAGGTCCAGTATGAAAATAGTAATTCCCCTTGTCTTTTTTGGCATTAAGTATCCTCCAGCATGTCTGGAAATGGACTGGCTGCAGGAACTCACAGAGTTACCAAACGGCTGAGCAACCCGTGATGGAAAAGTGTTTTCCTGCTTCACATGAACGTGGGACTAAAATAATCGACAATGGTACTGGCAGGTTTCTAGGGGACTCCTGTAATAATGCTTTACTTGGTCTTTCTTCACTGCAGGTTGCAATCAAACAGATGAATTTGCAGCAGCAGCCCAAAAAAGAACTGATTATTAATGAAATCCTTGTGATGAGGGAAAACAAAAACCCCAACATTGTCAACTACTTGGACAGGTATGTCATGATTTGAAGAGTTCACAAAGAGACTCTGGAAGACACTTCCTTGTCACTGTCTTGAGTCATCCTGTCTCAGCTTAATAGGACAACCTTGCATTGCTTAATGCATGTGGCAGTGTTGGGGTGTGGGTGGCTTGGTGGTCTCTCCGTATCCTAGGAGAAACAGGTGTCTGAATCGGTATTAATGGGGTATCTCAGCTCTCTTTAGAGATGCTGGCAGCAAAGGCATTGGCAGTATGCTGTCAGGACTCAACTTTTCAGCTCTCTCCTTTGCCAAATTTGACACAACAAGCCGTTTCCTTCCTGCTACTAGAGGAGAAATAGAAATAGTTTGAACTATGTTTTTTGTATTTGCTTTCCTCTTCCTCTTCTTTCCTCTTCTGCTAAGCAATGCTGACATTCTGCTTGCGGAGGAGCAAACTCCTTCCAGGGTTAAATGGTAATCTTGTCCTTGTGGCTGTCCACTGAGGTTTTCTGCACAGTAGCGTAACAGTGACGAGGCTGAATGACATGCGACACATAACCAAGCAAGGCTGCTTTCTTGCGGGTGTGAATAAGGGAGAAAAGGAGACTTGGCGCAGACGTAAGAACCTTTGGAAGACAGAGGGAACAGGGTTATTCCCTGCTCAAAGCTGGGCTTTGTGGGCTCGTACGCATGCTGTGGCACTCCTGCTCAGCCTTGGATATATTACGTCCATGTGGGACAGCTCGTCCTTGAATCCCTACTTTTCCTTAATGCAAGAGCTGCCCCTAATAGCTTATCTATGTACAGACCTGCTCTGCTTGTTCTTGAGCTGATGTTCCTTGGACTGGGACAATAACAGAGCAGAAGCAAGCAGCACAGTGGCTGCTCTGCTGAGTTGTAAACTGTTTTTAAAATAAACGTGTGTAGCCATGAAAATCCTGGTCACTATAGCTCAAGGCAGTAAAATGCCCAAGTCTGCCAAGAAACGTGGCTGTGAGAGCTCTTCCCTACAGGATGTTAATGCTGTACATAAGGGTGATGGTAGCAGTGCCGCCATCATCAGCTGTTCGGAGGTTGACTGCTTTGGAAAGAGCAACTGCTAAATGTGCTTCTTTGAGGGTAGGGAGCTGCCTTTGAAAGTGCAAGAAATTCTTGCATCTCCCCTGTTTGAATTCCAGGAAACAGTCACAAACTGTCAGCATTGAAATCTGGAGCATACTGAATGCCCAACAGGCAAAAGTGTTGCATGGTGGCTTGAATTCGCCATCAACATAACATTGGTTCATTGTGTCAAGCCTGTGTCATTCACCTTATGTTAAAGATATAGCTAGTTCCAGTTGAGCTGCAGCAGGATTTCCAGTCTGCTGCTCTCACGTCAGAAACCAGCGGTACTGATGAACTACAGGGTTGGCTTATTGTAGGTAAAGAGTGCCTAGACAGGGTGAGCAGCAGGTTTTAATCTTGGCAGCTCATTTTTTTGAAGATGCAATGGAGGGATGTGACCTACAATCTCTTTTGGAAGTCTGAGAGAGTATTGGCACACTTGTTTGCTCTGCATGTATATAAAAATCTTATCAGCTGTTTCTTTAACAGATTTCTCTAACAGGCTTTTAATGTCTTAGCCAAAAAAAGTGCTTCTTGTATATTAGTTGTGATGCTGAATTTATATGGTGCTGTGTCCTATGCATGGCTATAAAGAGCTACTTTGTTGAAGGGACAGAAAGTCTGCTCCTGAAATTTTGTGGAAGGGGTGTAGGCACAGGGAAGTGATGCTGGGCAGACGCCCTCTTCTTACAAAGAGCAGAAGGATATTACCTGTGTAAAATGAAACAAGTGGTGAAGAAGAGTTAAGAATTGAATCTGGGCTGAAACTGTTTATTTTGCCTGGCTGATTAGAGGCTTTGTTTTGGCAAAACTGTTTGAGACACATTCTTCCCCTTAGAGGGAGCATCGCTGAGTACATGCACTCGCCTTGTCTAGCCAGTACATCCCAACTGTCGGGTAGCTGCACGTCCTTCTGTCTTGTTCAAACTTCCAGCAACAAAAGCCGCTGCTTTTGTCCTCCACTTTTTCTCACTAATCTTTTTCAGAGAGATTAGCTTTTGTTTGAGTGCTGCAAATGGAGGGAGCAGCAACTAGGATGAATATGGGGGTTCTTGTGCCTGTTATGCCACTTCAGCTTTGCAACTGCAGGATCCTGTTGCTGGGGAGCTGCATCCGTCCTGCCTGGCTTAATGTGCCTGTTTGCTTCCTGCATGCTGAATTAAGCTGATATTGGAACGCCGCGTGCTGGCTTCTGCCTGCTGATGTCGCAGAAGGAAGTACAAGGAGGGATGCGAATGCCACTGTGGGACCTAGTTTCTTTTTTGCGATTCTGTTTTTGACAGTGTCTCCCCTTTTGAGTCCCTAATGGAAGCTGCAAGATGGTCATCGGTATAAACCAGCTCTTGCGCTTCTCTTTGCCTCAGCTCCTGCCCTTTTGCAAGGGTTTCCTGTGTTTTATCCTTTCTTACCTGCATGGCCTGGTTGCTCATGGTTAAGACAGCTTTTCTGCTGCAGTGTAAGTGGCCAGTGTTGCACAAAGGTGTGCTGTGACATTTAAGATGGTGACATGGCCTAATTCAGCTGTACTTAGGAGCTGAACTTAGAAGCATCTGGCTCTGAAGACAGTGACCCTAGTTTTCCTTTCTAGACAAGCAGCCACTTGTGCTGAGTTACCTTCTGGAGGTGCCAGTTTCTTTCTACAGCATGAAAGAGGCCCTCAGAGCCCTGCTTCTAAACTCAGGCATCTAAACACAGGCATCAGATGCCCAGTGTTAGACAAAGCAAACTCCTGCCCTTTGGTTTCTTTCTTTCTGAAGAACTCTCCTTAACCTAATAAACCCCACAAATCCTCACTTTATGTGGCAGCCACTGTTACCCTCACCCCAACCCCAAACTCAATTAGGGCTGGAAGGTCAATGTATAAAGGTGAAGATGTATGACAGTCATACTACAAGAAAACACTGATTTCTTTCTAGGCTAACTTCATGTTTGCATGTTGGAGGCATGTTACTGGTGCAGAAATCTGTAATGAATGATCTTGCTATTCTGGGCAAAATCAAATTTTATAAAGTTCATCAATAAAAAAGGGCTATGACTGACTGGTGTGTGTTTGTGGTAGGAAGGGCTTGGTGGACACCTTCCTAAGGTATCTAAGTGGAAGCTGAGGAACACCTTACAGGAACAGACATTACTTGCTCTTGCAGATGGATGAAGAGAAAGCTGTAGACCACCTCCTTCTTCCTCAAAGACTTTGATCAGATTGTTTTTACTGCCATCTCTGTTTTGGAAGGTGACTGTGGGTGCGACACCACACTATGCCTGACGTCACATGGAGGGCAGCACGTAGGTGTATGGACTTCCTGGTGATGTCTCCAGAATTGCTGAGAGAGTGGTTTTGAGGCATGCCTGCAGCAGGCAGCTCAGTGACTAAAACTGGCCTCTGCTGCAGCAAGAGAGTGAAAAGATCCCCGAGACGGCACCACCCAGTCTTCTGAAATGACGTTCACTTGGTGGCAGCTGGTGGGGAGCCACCATTAATTCCACCTCCCTGCGTGTTATGTCAGATCTATCAATTATTGAGGTGCCTGGGTCTTGGCACGTGCCTTTGGCTGCTCATGGCACAGCTTTGGTTCACAGTGTGGTTCTTGGCTCGCTCCATCCCTTTCGGCTGTGGAGAGATACCAGCTTGTTCCCAGCATGTGCAACCTGAGATTGTCACACAGGAGCGGTGGAGCCCATTCTGCCACCATCCTTACGGTCAAATGGATTTGGGCTGCAGAGAGTGGTAGTGGCAATGAAGGGAAGCATTGTGATGTCCAGGGTGACACTGATTTGTTGAGAGGGTGCTGATAAAATCTGGAGAGAGCCTGGTTTGGCAGGAGTGATGAAGAAGCAGCAGCAGTGTAGGGGCAGGAAGGAAGGGTGTGGATGGAGTGTCTTTCAGACTATTAGAAGGTAGATGACCTGCAGAGTTGGCAGGAACGCTTCTAAAGGCAATTCTGCTGCTCCTCTTTCACTCCAAGGGGCTGCTGTGCAGGTGATACTGGTTTTGCTGGGGTCTGTACTGCTGGGGAAAAAACTGCCAGTGCAGCAGCTCTCTGCTCCAGGAGCTTAGCCATGTCCTTGGGCTCTGTATCCTGAAAGAAACTCCAGACTCTGTCTCTCTGCGTAGTCTTCAGCATCACCAAATGAGGATACCATCTTTGTCTTCCAATATTAAAAGCTCTCCGTAACTGTAACACTTCTGTCATACAGCTCAGACCACATTCTTATTTTGGGGGAGTTTTTTCATCAGCTCAGGTGTTGGCAGTGTGTCCTTTTGGGGTCAAAGCCTGCTTCCTGCCCACTCCTGTGATGTCTCACGCATCTCTGTCTACTTTCCATGCCTAGTTGGGCTTAACGTCTTTCTTCTTTGCTGTTGCTTTCTAGCTAATTGTTCCCTAGAACCTGTCCTGCTTTTTGCCTTTGGCTCCTAGCAAATTCACTATTCACTCTTCAGTAGGATCAGTGTTTCAGAGCAAAGCAAGCATCTGCTTGATGAACCCTAATGCCAGCAGAAACTTCTAGTTAGATTCTCTGCCCTCTCTCTTGACTCATCTGTCCACTCACTAAAAATGGGAAGGTAGGCTGAGAAGGTGGGTTTTCAAGTTTTCAAGCTGATGATTCCTTCCTTCAGGAATATGTCATCCTGATATATCTGTCATGGAAGATTGTGTTGATGTTTTTCCAGATGGGCCCAAAAAGGCAGAAGTGGTTGGTGGTTTGGGTTTATTGTTTGTTTGGATTTTTTGGGGGGTTTTTTTGTTTTTTTTTTTTTAAAATGAGTTAATGCTGAAGTTTCGTCCCAGGTCTTCTGCTTTTAAACATGAGAGCGCACACTCCCAGCAGAGAATAATATCCCAAATAGCTGAGAAAACTTGCCCCAACCTCAGCTGTCTCCTCCCCATCTTCCACAGGCCTTTTTGGACAAGACCTGACCTTTTGGGCTTTCCTTTTTTATTTTAAATCTTTAGAATTGCTGTTGTATCCAGCAAGATGTTCTCATTTGCCCTTATGAACGGTTCTGGATTTTTCAGACAAAATCTCAAACTGGTTTGGTAGCATGAAAAAAGATTGAGGTGATTTTTCAAATGCATGACGCTTAAAAAAAATGTTCTTTCTCTGTCGTTCATGGGCAGCCATCCATTGTGTCACCCAGGATTGTCCCTGGGCCTAGGCAAAGTAGGCAGTTGCTTAGGTCAGCAGGCTGCCAGTAGTAGCGAAGCAGCCCCCAGCCACCTCTTCTGATGCAAGAGCTCCTCAAAAGCCGAATGTCTGGGTTGCATGCTTGCACCCCATCCTTGACTAGTAGCTCTTCCCCTTCTCTCCCAACGGCAGCAGGAGTTGTAAGGTCAGGTCTCCATCTTAGTCTGGGCCCTTTCCATGGCAGAAAAATTCAGCCTTGCTCTTATGGCCAGGAAGCTTGTAGCCTGCTCTCCCATTGCCTCTCTCCTCGACTTTCTGCACTCACCCTTCCCTCTGCTCATTCAGGTTGTGATCAGATCCTCCCATGTACAGAAAGTACCACGAGTACCTGGTGCCCCAGTACTGTTAAATACGCTGCTCAAGTCTCATGGTTTCTCTGCACTTCTAAGACAGCTTTAAAATCCAGTGCATTCTGGCTAGGTAAACAGTGGCTTGCTCATACTTGCTGATTTTAAAATCTGTTTTTGGCTCTTCAGTTACCTTGTAGGAGAAGAGCTCTGGGTGGTCATGGAGTACTTGGCAGGAGGCTCTCTAACAGATGTTGTGACAGAGACCTGCATGGATGAAGGACAAATCGCAGCTGTGTGCCGAGAGGTAAAGCAGCACTCGCTCTTGGAGGGAGCTGTCATTGGGAAGGGGACATGGGCTTTCCACGATCTGTCACTGGCTCCACAGGAATAGCTGTCTCAGCTTCTGTAATGCAACAATCATTCTTTCAGAGGATGGATTTCATCTGGGAGGTTGCAGCACAATCCTAATGCAAGCCTAATATATTTCACCCTAGAGGGGGGACTGGAGTGCAAAATGGGGTTGGAATCCCCTTGGTTATTCCTGTTCTCCAGGTCTTTTGGGACTAACCCGTCCTAGGACCTGCTGGTCTCAGTAGGATATCTCTCTGTAGCCCTGCACATACTAGATATATGAAAGACTCTAAGACATTAAGCCCTTGCTACTCGAAATGCACATTATTAGAATCCATTAGTTGGCTAATTGTGAACTGGTGAATAATTTCATGCACAGTAAGAATATCTCAATTATTTTATTTTGTTTCAGTGTCTCCAAGCTCTGGAATTCCTCCATTCAAACCAAGTTATTCACAGAGACATCAAGAGTGACAACATCCTGCTGGGAATGGATGGCTCTGTCAAACTAAGTATGCGGGGGAACATGGCTGGTGATGACTTGAGTTATCAATCCAGGCCTGTTATCTGCTATGGGCCAGGCCTGTTGGGGAGATGGGTGTTTGAGCTGCTGTGGCGATGAAGAGGCTGTAGAAATGCTCCTGTAGGTATTTTTGTGGCTTTGGTTTTAATGGAGATGGGCAAGCATGAGTCCTTGTGAACTGGTACCAGACTCGAAGTGAGGTTTGGGGTTCGTTTAGCTTTGGGCCATCTGTTTTTGTGGGCTAAAATAAGAGTATTTTAATGCTACTCCAGTCTAGAAAGCTGGATTTGAACGTGTAGGGCCAGAAGTCTTTGTTCGTGAGCAATCTCTTCAGCCTGGAAAATACTGCAGGTACTTGGGGGGCAGGGGGAGTGGAGGGAGAACTGAAAACTGTGTAACTAGAAAACATTTAATCTTACAACACCAACCCAGACTGGACTCTAAATGTTGTTTCCTCCTTGTGTTATCACTTGTAATGAAGACCTTGAGACTGTTCTGCCCCTCGGGTGCTAAGGTAGCTGTTGTGCTTGTCATAGCCCATGCAGAGATAAGTCTGGAAACTAGTGAATGATTATCTTCCACCTATAGCTTTAACAGAATTATGCTTCCTTTCTCTCCCTCTCAGTTCTGTTGGCTAGCACCCAACAGGCATAAATAAATCTATTTTTGTCAGCAGTGACAGCAGATATGACTCAAAATTCACACAGTGCAGATATGCTGAGTAAGAAGGTGGGGTTTTTTTGCACATAATTGCTTTTTAGACTAAAGCTGTACTTTGGTACAGTCAGATCTCTGGAGTGTTAGTGATGAATAGCTGATCAGGGCCAAAGTGCTCTGTTCTTACGGAATAACTTCTTTGAGCACAGTGTGCAGGTACCGGGCTGTAATTTAAAGTTAGAGAAGTCCCTGTAGATATGATGCAGTAACCTTCTGGACCTGAACTGCTTATTGGCTCTGCCGGAAATTTGCTCTGTTTATGAACCATATGTGCCTTTCCTGGTTGTTACCCTTGATGAGCACTCAGCTAGGGATCAGTTTAATTTTCATCATTCTGCCTAAAATTAGACCTGCGGTGCCATAGGGGGTCAGGATGGGCAGTGGATCTTGCTGTGTTGATTCTGCTGGGCTCACAAGAACACAACTAGTTTTCTATTGGTAAGTCAAATACAAGTAAGACATAGGACCCAGCAATCTTTGTGTGAAGGCTCTCCGTCTTTCTGTCTATTCGAAGAAAATACTCAGATAAACTTGGGTACTTTAAATTTATTCTGAACACTGCTTGCTCTGTAAAACAAAGCCTGCTTGAGGGATGATGTATCTAATGGGGAAGTAATATCTTTGCGACTGAAAATATCACCAGACAATGCAGTATGTGGGTTGGGGGATGTATCTAGATCAGACTGTGCATTAATTTCTATTTTCACATACCCAGGAAGTCTTTAGACCATATATTACATAGTGTATTACAGCTGTGTAATGCTGCAAATACAGTCAAGTGTCTCAACATCCGTATATGGTTATTTACTGATCCCCATCGTTCACATAGACAAGTCAGCAGCTCTGTAATCTTCATGGCCTCAGTGAGTCAGATTTAGAAACTTACTTCTCAACACCATCTTCTGTATTAGCCACAAAACCACCCCTCCTTTCACAGTTGCAACAGCAACGCAGCAGACGGTGCGGCAGGGTAACTCGTACTACAGCGCTGGCATCTGTAAACTCTTTTTGGAGAAACTTGCTGATGTCTATGTCTGTTTCTTACCCCCCTTTAATTTTCCAGCTGACTTCGGCTTCTGTGCCCAGATCACTCCTGAGCAGAGTAAACGCAGCACCATGGTGGGGACCCCGTACTGGATGGCACCTGAAGTGGTGACGCGGAAAGCATATGGGCCCAAAGTGGATATCTGGTCGCTGGGGATAATGGCCATCGAGATGATTGAAGGAGAGCCCCCCTACCTCAATGAGAACCCCCTGAGAGTAAGCAAGTATCTTTTGCCCTCAGGTCTTCACTAAGTCTGCTGGTGAAACTAGACTCTAAAGGAGGCAGGTGAATCCTCCAGTGTGATTTCACCACCTGCAGCCCCATACCTCCTTAGTCGCAGGGAGAAGATTGAGATAGTTTTATTTAAAAGGCGTAGTTTGCTCTGGGTAGCAGAGCTGTGGGTTCTTCCTGTTGCAGACCCTCTGGTCAGCTCTGATGAGTTAGGTCATGCGCACTCGTAATTTCCCACTTTCTGGAGATGCTGATAGAGGCAGAAAGAGTACCTGATGGCACCAAAGCAGCTGGCTTCTTGAATCCTTGTGACTGGGGAAGAACTCTCCTTAAGTTCAAAAACTTGACACATAACTATTCTATAAACGGAGCTTTTTCCTACTGGTGGATTGTTCCTCCTTGCATGCTCCAAATAAAGCTACAAGCTTAATAAGTCGTTAGACAGGGCTTAAGCCTCCTGATGTCTCCCTTGTTTAGTTTTTAATGAAAGGGGAGATGCTGTCAGTTTGTAGGGGTGTAACTGCTCTTAATATAAGCCGAGTTTATGGCTTCTCCTTCAGCTACACAGGATGAGGGGATCTAGAAAAATTTGTTTAACTTTTGTCTCCACATCTTGCACTGATTTTTTGGGAGAGAAGAGCAGCAGCAAAGAAGAGTGAAAGGAAAGAAACTGGGTGTTGAGGTAAATAAGGATGGTTAAGTAGCAGTACTTTGGCCTCATTTAACTCAACTTATGCCAATTCCCAGGCTATCAGACTGTTCCCATGGGATGTGCTGAGTCACGTGCTCAGAGGGCCAGTAAATTAACAAGTCTCTGGCAGATTTCCGGTTCCTTTGAAAATCCATCCAGGAAGTTTCTTGCGTGAAATCCTGAAATGGGTGAATTCTGAGTTCCTTGATTCTCAGAGAGGGGGTTATGTGAATGCTTCATCCCCAAGCAGTAGCAAAACTGCGTGTTTCTGCGGGATGTTAAAAGCTGTGTGAGGGTCTGCTGGACATCTTTTGTAAGGAGCCAACTGCATGTTTATAGTATTAACTTTTTAGGCCTTGTGCGCTCAGGCAAAGTACCGACAGAACAAAATCTCCTATTTATTCAGGGGTACCTTCCCATGAGGATATAGTTATTGCAGGAGTCTAGCACTGGTAGAGTCATGCCGGTTAACTTCCCTATGTAAACATGGTCTGGAATGTTGTTTTTGTCCTCCTAATCCCTTGAGAGGGCTGCAGGATCCAAACTCAGATTACGAGGGTAAAACAATAAAGGATTGGATCCCATCCACATAAAAATAGGGCTGGCAGCTATTCTGTTTGCAGAAACTTAAGCATTGATTAGTCACCCTGATAAGGTGGGTTTTTTTGTCCCCATTGAACTGGAGGGAGGGAAGGAGAAATGAGTGTCTCTGTAATCCAGAGATGGAATCTAACCTTCATAACCTCCTGTTTCTTTGGTGCTTGTTTTTGCTTTAGGCCCTGTATCTCATTGCTACTAACGGGACTCCAGAACTGCAGAATCCGGAAAAGCTTTCACCCATATTCCGAGACTTCTTAAATCGCTGTCTTGAAATGGATGTGGAAAAGAGAGGTTCTGCGAAAGAGCTGCTACAGGTAGGTGGTGGGGAACAGCGCTGAATCAATGTAATCATGCAATCCTGAGTGAGGCCAGGCTTATGGAGAGATCTTGTTTGGGGTCTTAAATACTGCATAAGCTGAAGGCACAAGCACAGCTAAGGTAACCTGCCAGAAAAAAAAAAAACAACCCCAAAACCTAAATCTATAATAAAGTGTTAACAGACTACTTCCTTTTTATGCTGTACTTGCTACTAGCAGCAGCTGTGCAGCGTGTTCTGTAACCAACCGCAAATAATAGCTGTGCCCCAGGCCTGCCAAATGCTGAGCCTCTTAATTCCCGTGGCTTCGTCGCACAGCTGGCCCTGACATCTGTATGTGTTGTCATGGTCTGGCCATGCTTGTTCCGATTTGGACAGCAGGAGGGCTTCTAGCTACCACATGTTCTGGTTGTCTCCATTCTGGTGGAGTGATCACAAATCTCTTTAGAATATGCATGGCTTGCATTAACTGGAGCAGTTTGGCGTTACCACATTTTGCCAGATACTACTCCTTTCAGAGTTGATGGAACAAAGCTTGTGAGATATCGTAATCGTAGAGTGGTTTGGGTTGGAAGGGACCTTTAAAGATCCTGTAGTCCAACTCCCCTGCCATGGGCAGGGACATCTTTCACTGTATCAGGTTGCTCAAAGCCCCGTCCAACCTGACCTTGAACACTTCCAGTGATGGGACATCCACAACTACTGTGGGCAACCTGTTCCAGTGTCTCATCACCCTATCATCAGTTATTTCACTGAAAACATGGTGTCTTAGCTTGAACTCCTGGTGAAAGGGGAGGGCCAAGCTGCCAGGCTTTTTACCGACATGGATGAGAGGAGTGGTTCATGTCCTTCTGTCGAATTTGCCATGAAGGTGGAAAATGTAGCTCTTTGTAAAATAAATCCGTGATCAGGGGTACTCAGACCTCAACTGTGAGACAGTTTCCTTAGTTCCTTTCTTTCCACTAGTTTGCCTAGTGGATTCAGTTTTGGATGTGTTGCTGCCTTCTGAGACTGTAATGAAGCATTGATCACTGGCCGAACAGCAGTAGTTGAAAGATCACTTTTGCTCCTGGACTTTCCAGCCCCAAAATATGACAGCAGTAATATTCTGTTCCTTGGAGCAGGAGAACGTTTTGACTGTAACACTTCTGCCTGTTTTTAACTACCTTTTTGTCTCTGATTTTTTTTTTTTTTTTTCCCCCTCCCATCTCTGAAGCATGTTGCTTTGGGTGATTGGTCCCTTCTGATGCTCAGAAGTCCTGTGGGATATAGTTGCTTTTTGTTTTCAGAACACCTTGTGAACTTGCCCTACATGCCTTTACTCTCATCTGAGAGCTGTTTTGATGATCAATATTGTTTTACTTAACAGAGCATCTCGTGTAGGAGACTGACTGAATGGTTCTGTGTTGCAAGCTCTGTGCTGCTCTCTTAAATTCCAGCTGCTTTGCAAATTTCTAATATTCGTAGAAGGCCAAGGCAATGCTTTCACCAGACCTCTGATAACAGGGAAGCAAGAAATGAGAAGTGATTCTTGCAGGAAGCCCTGTGCCTTGTGTTCGAACTGCACAGGTTGTTTTTAGGACACCTTCCTTCCACACAGAATTTCATTATAGATTTTGTAAGACTTTATAATTCCCTAGGGGAATTCACTGAGTTTTGCTTGGTCTTGAACATGTACAAATGTTGGAGCCTTTAGCGTGTGTTCGGTGCAAATCTGTTTGTCACTTCAGGCAAGCCCCAAAAGTTTGTGGTGGTAACAGACCTTTTGGTTTCACCTGTTCAGAGATTAGAGTAGGTTGTTAGACTTCATATGGGTCTAGGTGCCAATATTTTGAGTAGCCACCAGACTTCTGGGGCATGTTCTGAAAAATTTTTCTTTTTTCTTCTTCCTAGCACCAGTTCCTGAAAATTGCAAAGCCTCTATCTAGTCTCACTCCTCTGATTATTGCAGCTAAAGAGGCAGCCAAGAACAACCATTAAAGTGGTGGAGTCAACACAGTCGTCGTGTCAAGACTTTTAGGATGTTCATTTCAGAGATTGAATTACCTGCCCCTCTCCCCTTCTGCTCCTTCTTCACAGGGGTGTTCTTAAAACTTTGATCTGCCCTGAAGGGTGGCAGAGGTGTTGTTCACTGAATGTGGAAAGGCACGCAACAGGGACATTGCTGATCCTACATAGTGAACTGTCTTTCCATCCTCATGATGGGGGTGAGAGGGGAAGTGTTTTTTCTATGGTTGAGAAGATCTTTCTGAGAACGTCTGAACCTGACCTACACGTAGCGAAGCCAGTTTGTTTTCATATTTCTTACTGTGTTTATTTTTAAAAATAACATGGAGCCTTAGACCATGTTTATCTTAATAAATTAAATCTTTTGCTGGACTTTTCCTGCTTCTGGCAAGCTGCTATTACACCACTGAGGCTGCTCTGTGCTTTGGATGACTTGAGGAGGGAAGGAAGCAGGCAGCAGAAATGTGAACAGCTGTAACAAATGAAAGGGGAACGAGGGCGTGAATACGCATCCCTCCTACAGCACTGCTGGATCCTTCAAGGGAACATGGAGAAAGCCCCTGTGTTGCTTCCTGCAGCCATTGGAGAACTTACTTCATGTATGATCTTTTTGCCCGATTTTGTGAATTGGGGTCCCCCCTCCCCCTTTAGTTTCAACTCAACTGATTAAACAAATCTCAAACATTTCTGATGTTCTAGAAGGTAAATCACAGGAAAAATTGACAGAGAACTCTTTTAGGGTTATTTTATCAGCGCTGCGAGGCTTCTTAGAGACCCTTGCCCTGTATGATAAAGCAAACAGAGCAATTACTATTATAAAGATAAGAATTGCCTGCAAAATTATGTTGAAAACTCTTGTTTCTTAGAGCAAGTCCAATGGAAAACAAACTGATTGTGGATGCTGCTTTCTTGGAGACGTGGGGACGTTAATTTTTTGAAATGATAGTGGTTTCTTTATGCTACTGATTCCTTTAGTTGCTAATAGTCTGTAAAACAACAGGAAACCTGGAACTACTAGAGGGATTGGTTGTAAACACTGGGCTTATGTTCAACTGTATACTGATTTTTTAATAAAATGACTGCTGCGTTTCTTAACTTGGGGCTGAGGGAGGTTTGGAGAATTCACTGTCACCAGACAAGTCTGTCGAATGGGATTATTGTTCGTATCATCACCGGGTGCTTGAATGTGTTGGATAAAGTGATACAACCTCGTCTCTTACCCCTTCTTCTCTAGTCCTTTAAGATAGCAAGTGGCTCTCAAGGGAGTAACTTTACACATAGAGAAAATCTATAAAAGATCTGTATTGTAACTGGGGGAGCTGCTTTCTCTGTACTGCTTTGGTCATTTATGGGGTGAGTTTAAACTGATTCTGGAGTAACCTCTCATCTCTCTCCAAAGCACTTGTGTTGCACAGAAATTCATTTCTGCTTCTTGTTGAGACCTGCTGCTGGCTCAGCCCTTTCTTCCCTGCACCTGGGTTTTAATTCAAATATATTTTTCCTATTCGCTCCACAATACATGACAGCTCTTATGCTAGTTTTACCGGGTAGAGATAGAGTTTGTGAGGTCTTTTGCTTCTGTGGTGCCTTCTCCCATCCTTCGTGCTCCAAGGTGGTCATTGTTTGACAAAAGGCTGAAGTCTGAAGTTCATTGCCAAAATCTGCAGCCTCTCTCCCTTTGTGTATATATTTTTCATCTCCCTGTGATATTAAGAGTTTCCTCTCGCAAAGCTTGTATCTAAGGATGAATTCCTTGGGCAAAAGAGTAAAGCTGCCGGGCTGGAGAGGGATATGATCTATTGATGAGCCCCTCTGCTTGGAGCTGAGGTGGAGACTGTGAAATGGAAGGCCACTACCCTTGAATAATTCCCTTTGATAAGGAAGTTGTTTATATTTCCTCTAGAAGTCTCAAGATGGCATATGTGGGAAGAAAGGAATTAGGGGCTAGATCTCATTTGATCTAAAATCTTATATCGCTCTGGTCTTACAGATTTGGCAATTGACTTTTTTTGACAGCAGAGGGTTAAATCCAATCCACAAATGTGTTTAATGTCTCTGGCTTCTCTTTAACTGCCTTCCCCACTCCATCCTCTGCATCCCATTGAGATGAGAACCTTAATGCAGATATGGCCTATCTGCGAGCATGCACGTGAGCTTATTTTTCTGCAACAAGATTTCTGCTAAATTTCCCCAAAGAAGGTAGAAGAGGTTATTTGTATGTGTTTAAGTCACTCTTCTGGATTCTTGATTGCATAATGGAAACTAATCAATACGAATGACTGTTTATCCCTCTTCTTATGCTAGTGATGTGCTTCTGTGTCATTGACTTCCACTTTGAATCGGTCCTGCCTGGTTTCTGCTAGCTGCTTGAGAGAGGGTTTGCCTAAAGCCTTTCGTTCTCCACTGGGAAGCTGCAAGACTGTGACCATAGACGTGTGTCATCTTGTCCCATGCTTTTCTTTTCCCCACCTGTGATGGGTGCGACTGCTACAGTGTGCCTGGACCTAGTTTCAAGTTATCAGGCATGTCATGTTTTTATGTTCTCAGAAAATCTTAAAAAATTTTGTAACCACCTTAAACATAGGAGAATGAGACTTTTTTGTTGTTGTTGTTGTTCTGAAATACATCCTTTCCTCCACTCTCCCTTCATCTGTGGATTGCCCAGCATCAGCACCTGTGTTAGCTTTCACATAGCCCTTTACGGCACCTTCCTGTCTAAAGAGAGCTCTTAAATAGCGACTCTCTGAGTTAAAAATTAACCTCTGGGGCTTATGTTCCTGAGAACATCTTGGCTCTGCTGTGATTTGAAAGCGACTCCAACTAGAGAACTTCTTTCGTGGCTTTGCTTTTTTTTTTTTTTTAAACATACTCTATGAACTGATTTGCCTGAGTTGAAACCATTTTTAATCACAGCCCTTAATTAATTATTTATTTGCCTATTAATATTAAAGTCTGTCTTCTATATTATAACATGAAATATTCAATTGTTTGAGTATCCTTTCTGAAAATCGGCTTCCTTTTTGAGGGATCTCAAGAAATCTGATACCAGAAATGATATAACATGCTACAGCTTACAAAGGGCTTGCTGGAGGGAGAGGCTAAAACTCATCTCTTCTTTTCAAAAACACAGAAGATTGTCTTACTAAAGAAGCAACTAGTAGCTTCGACAAGACACTTCCTATGTTTCAAGAACAGGCATTGATTTGTATTACTTTAGCTCTAGGGTTTTTTTAAACAAACAGACAATTGATTTGGAGTTCACCGGGGCCAAGAGTTTGTATGAGAGGGATATGCAGACCCCGTGTGCCTTGAAGAAGGCAGGTTGTAATGCTGAGAGTGAAGAGCCAGGGCAGGGATGGAGGGGACGGCAGAACTTGCTAGTTCAGTTGCAGCAGCGATAGCACACCTTTAGCCATCCCTAAAATGTCTTTAATCAAATGCGTGTGTTTTTAAAGGACATAAATCGGGCTGATGAGTCGTTACAGGCTCTTCCCTAGACAGGCATTATACTCCTACCAAACTTCTAAACAAAAGGGGTGCACAGTTTTCTCCAGCAAGGAGGCTTCTTGAGAAAGGAGGTTTCCATGGAGACACTTACTTGACTTAAACGATCTGGTTAGGGCTTGAGAAGAAGCTTGGGGGGTAAACACCACATCAGCACAAAAGCCACTATTTTGCAAAGCAACTGGGGTTGCCGCAGTGTTTTGTTTCCAGCTTGATGCCCCTTTTCAGGGGCCTAGTTTTGAGAAAGTGCCAAAAATGTTGTCTGGTCAGAAATGTGAGGTGTGTAAAAGGCTGTCGCTTCTTAGCCGAGATCTCTTAGTATCCTAATCCGTCTGTCTCTCAAAATGCCGCAGGTTGGTGTAAGTAGGGCACATTTGCAGCGAAGTACGGTGCAAGAGCGGACTGCAGTGGCCTGAAAGTAGGTACTTGCTTCCTTAAAGCCTACCATCCTTGGCTGACAGTAAAATTGGTCCAGGCCAAAATCCAAGAATAATATTTGTTTGAACCTCATTCCTAATTAAGAGCTTGTATAATCCATTTGTACAGTGGATGATGACATCTTCAATGTTAAAATTGTTAAAGGTGAAATCTGATTCTCCATTCATCTTCCCACCATAAAATAACAAGACTTCTAAATAGCTTATTTCAACAGTAATAGAGAGTCAGTAGATGTGTTTTGGGGTCGTAAGCCCAACTGGATCAAGCATATGGATAATTAATGGTCTAGGATCTCACCGTTTGTTGCTAATGACAGCTCACAATGTCAAAGGTGGGATCTTAGAGAAGCAGCTGCGGACTTTGACAGGGAATAGCCAACAGTAACGAAACAGCAATACAGATGGGAGCGGGACAGAAACTCGCTGCCAAAATGGATGCCTGCAGAGAAGTGGTGGGAAGAGCTACAGAAGAAGATGGAGTTTGTCCAAGGAGTGCTGGGGTAGGACGAAGCAAAGGTGAAAACCTCCACTGCGCAATTGCTGAGGAAATTCAGGGAGTGCCACGGCAGCCTGCTGCATCTCAAAGCAGCAACGTCTCTGAAGGAGGAGAGCAGAAAGGAGCCTGGGAATGGAAGAGGTGCTGGAAACGGAGACTGGAGCAGCAATATGGCTTTGAGTCACAGCTCCTGCTAAGAGAGCTGGAGCTAATCCAGGAAGTTTGCAAAAATGACAAAATTCAGCTGAAAAGGCAAAGTGGGAGCTAGAATGGAGGAGATAGCCTTGATGTGCCAAGGAACTGAAGAGAGAGGCCAGATTTTGCGGGTATGTGAAACAACAGAAGCAAATTTAACACAGGCTTTTGTGGATGACAAGCAGCTCATTCCTTCTTGCCTTGCAGCATCGGTACGGCATCTTTTCATGATCAGCACTGCTTTGGGATCGTGTCAGCAGCCACCAGGCTTTAGTCTCGTGTTTGTAAAGACTTTGTCACTCTGTACCTACAGGTTTCTGACTGCAGCTTTCACCTGCTGGCAGATGTCTTTGTGTTGTGTCCCACCTGGAAATACAGGGGCTGTTGCCGTTTTAAAATCAGCTAGATAATTTGTTTCTCTTCATACTGCCTTGGCGTGACTCTCCTGTAGTGCCGGGTTTGTTTAATGTGCGAGGTCAGCTCAGCCATTTTAAAAATAAAACTGAAACCTTAAATAAAACCAGAATGAATTTCTTGGTTCTCCTTCACTTGCTGTTTCAATGACCCTTGCAGTGACAGTAGAACTGAGTGGGGGTGCTTAAAAGAGGGGTTGTGTTTCGCTGACCTATTTTAGATTGATCAGGTCTTATTTGATTGAGCAAAGTGACCACACTAAAAGCTGTTGCAGCAAGTGTGATTTTTATGACTTATTTTAATTTGTTCAGACATAGTTAATGCTCTGGGAAGCATCAATCTGGAAGCAGAATCTAGACCATGGCTTGAGGAGGAGGTGGCTGGTGAGGGAAATCTTTGCTTCTGGATGCTTGTTTTCTCCCCAGGTAGAGCTTGGTGTCTGAGGCTCCTAGTACGGACGGGGAAATCAGAGGAGAGTTTGGGATAGGCACATACAACCATCTTCCCCAGCATTGCTTTTTCTTGCAGGGTCAGTAGGATGAGGCTGATGACAAGAGCAGGAATTTATCATCCTCCATACTTGTTTGCACAAGTGTCTCATCG